TTATTCTTGAATTAACCTTTTCTGTTTTTGAGATTATGGTAGGTTTACATATCATTGTAAGATAATACTGCTAACTGCTAACAGATATGGGCTTTCTTTTCATGGTAAAAAATTTCCTGAAATCAGACAATGGTGGCATAATATTGTGAATATACTAAAAACTGCTAAATTGTAAACTTTAAAATAGTTAAAATGGCTTATTTTGTGTTATGTGAATTTTTTCTCAATGAAATAGTTTAAGAAAATTAAGGGGGAAAAAATAATACACTGTTTCCCCAGTGGTAACATCTTGTCAAACTATAGTACAATATCACAGTCCTCCTGGTCATTTTTGATAATTGAATAATTCTTCTTACTCATTTTTATGATTACATCTTTCATTTCTTTAAACATTTCAGAGATCATTATCCTGTATTTTAAGACAGGTAATTCTAACATCTGAAGTCCTTTGGGCTCTGAGTCTGCATGTTGTTTCTACTGACTCTCATTTGTGATGGGCTTGAGATAGGAGGTACTCGGTTTCCATGGGCTTAGGCTACAGGACACACCTCTGTGTCAAGCCATTCCCCAAGGTCTCAGGCCCCTCCTCTAGGCCCTTCCCTACAGGAAAGTTACTGTTGCTAGTTGGACCTATTTTCAGCACCAAGGCAGATTTCAGGGGACTGACTTATGCAAATCCAGTGGCTGGACATGCTCAATAGAAAGGGGTTATATAACCATGATAGCCAAGCATGCTCAGTAAAGTGGAGTTTATATTCATTAGATAGCATGAATATGTATTAGATAGCAAAACTATAAAAGTAGAATCCTGGCAGAAGGTGGGATTGTTGCTCACTTTCCTGACTGAGGTGTGTACTTCTTTCTTTTCGTGTCAAACTTACTTTCAGCAAGCAGCTGCTCACTCTCTTGAGCCAGCCTGCACTCTGTACTAAACTTTAAGTGTGTATTTCTTATTTTTGTATTAACTAGGTGTGTGCCCTGCTCAGTCACGGGAGCTAGGCTGCACTCTCTCTGTGAAGTCTGTATTTCTTATCTGTTACATTAAACTTGTTCTCACTTTCTATTGTGACTCTGCTCTTGAATTCTTTCCTGTCGGTAGTCAAGAACCTGGTAAAAGGACGGGGTGGTTTGAGGCCGACTATTGGGTCTCCCCAGACCCTTTCTCCTCCAGCATCAGATTACTTCCTTTTAGTTTGGTAATCTTTGACCAGGAGCCCATATTTGGTTGGTCTTAATCTATGGGATATCTGGGGTCAAAATTGAAGGTGTTTTCTGTCCTCCAGAGAGGAGGGGTGTTTGCTGCTTCAGAGGTCTAGGAGGCGTTCCTGGCCCTGCTCCACGTGAGCTTTCAGGGATCTGGTCATAATCTGAAAATCTTCGTTTTAACAATCTGCTCCCATGGCCTCTAGCAATGATGTTATCAGTACTTTCCTCAGAAAAAAACCTTCTTTTCTGTATTTAGCAGTCATGTCTCAGGGTTTCGCTTACTTTCTTTATTTTTATTTATTTATTTTGGTAGCTGGCTTGTACAGGGATCTGAACCCTTGACCATGGTCTTATAACACCATGCTCTAACCAGCTGAGTTAACCAGCCAGCCGTAGCTTACCTTCTTATTAGGTTTAGTTTTTCAGGTACTTTATCATTGTCTTTACTTTCATAAAACATTTTAGATTTATGCAAAATCTGCTATTCTGAACTGGGAAGGCCCTCAGATCATCTAATTTGCCATCATAACAAGAAAACTCTCTATTTAAATAGTCTGGAGGGGTAAAAGTTGTATATCCAAGAATGTGATAGGCAGATACTTTGCCTTAATTAGGTGAAGGTTATAGAAAAACACTCTCACATTTACAAAGGTTCAAAATATAAATTCCATGTCTTTTCTTTGAAATCATGTCTTGAAAATGGATTACAACCGACCCAGCAGTGAAACATAAATGAAAAGCTCAAGACCAGAAAAGTAGGTTATGAAAAGAGAGTAGTCAGCAAGGAAATGAGTAAACACAGATGTTTAAGTAATAGCTTCTAAATTAGAGTCAATGTGGATCGATGGATCTGGTTTCAGTGCAACTGTGTGTAAATACACAGAAAAGCTCTTTGAGGACATACAAAAACTGTTGATGGCAGTTCTGTCTGAACAGTGGGATGAGGTCTGGAAGAAGAGGGAGACCTAGTTTTTACTGTAAATCTTTTGTATTGTTTGATTTTTGTTTTTATCATGGACATATAAATTCTTTATCATAAAAATATATATATTAAGGAATGATTTTGAAAAACTAAAAGGTAACCAGTAGTAGAATTTTTTTAAAAAAGAGATCATATATACATTTCATACTTGCGAAGAACTTAAAAGCTAAGAAAGCACAGTTCATATAGCAAAAGAAAAAAATAAGGAAATAATTAGGAGACATTACAAGACAACTAAAGAACTTGCGGAAAGATTAAACATGTTAGTAATAATCAAAATGATGGACTCAATATCATTGGAGACTCTAATGCCCCATTATAAACAGAGACTGAAACTAGGCCAAAAAAACAAAATCTAACATCATGCTATTTTTACCAAAAAGCTAAAACCAAGTAGATAGGCAAGATATATGGGGCAAATGCAAAGAAGCACAGTATTAACATCTAAGCAGAACTGGAAGTAAAAGGCATTAAATGGAACAGAATTATTTTATATTATCAGTTGGATATGACTGAGAACAAAGAAAGCCCAACACGTACAGAGCGTGCACCTCTTCCAGGCTCTGTTCTAAGTGCTTTACTTGTCTTATTCACCATTCACAACCATTCAATGGCTTGGCCACAACACACTATTATTAGCCCCATTTTACACATAAGGAAAACAAGGCAGAATGAGGCTACTAAGTAAAGAGCCCAAGGTCACACCAGCAGGACAGTTAGAGCCAGGATGAGATGCAGACATTCTGGTTGCAGACGTACAGCTCTCAAAACCTTGGCACAGACCACACTGCACTGGAATCTGTAAGACACAGCCATTTCTAACAACCTCATGTACTGAGCAAGATTTTAACGTGCTTCCCACACTTTAACAAGTCTGGGCAAGGATAAAGAATGAAAAAAATATTTAAGTAGTCTTTTGGACAACCAGTTTTTCCCCCCTCGAAAATAAGCAATTTAATATTAAACTATTTGAGCAATGCTTTAAAGATATTTGTCTAATGTTTGCAGTCATAGAGGCATAATACCAAAAACAGGTATAAGAATAGTTAAGTGAAAGCTAATCAATTGATAATATAGGAAAGAAAAAAGACGATTTTTAAATTTGGCATTATGTAATTTATGTGTGTGGTTTTTTTCCCCAAAATACTTAGATTTTAAAAATAATACTTTAGCCATTTAGTATAAATTTTCAGTTAAGAAAAAGATGGACATGTTAAACTTTCCTGAAAGTTAAACACGTATGTTTTATTATGGTCTTTTACTTTAAAAAGTATATTATATAGGGCCGACCCTGTGGCTCACTCGGGAGAATGGGGCGCTGGGAGTGCAGCGGCACTCCCGCCGTGGGTTCAGATCCTATATAGGGATGGCTGAGTGTGGTGCGGGCGACGCCAAGCCAAGGGTTGCAATCCTCTTACCAGTCACAAAAAAGACAAAAAAAGAGTATATTATATAAAAATAAAATAACATCATATGTTTTGTCAAGAAGCATTGATTTATATATATATATATTTGTGATTACCAAAGGGATTAGATTAATCATGGGCCTGATTTCTCTCCCTGTCACATAAGGAATTAAAAGGATTTCTGCAGGGGAAAATGTGATGCCACACCTGTGATTTGATGTCACTGAACTGCAGTTGGAGAAATTGTGTGTTCTGTACAAACATATAATGCAAAAAGGAAAAAAAAAAGAAAAAAGAAAGGTTGGTATTTCTGTTAGTTTAGTGAGATAAAAACGTGAGATTTCACCTTTCTTCACAGGTTGGAAGGTCTTCTGTTCTGAGTTCGTAGGAAGCCCTTGAGGGTCTCTGATCTTCTTGGTTTCTAACAGTGAGACTGCAAGGGACAAGACATTCATGGGTTGACTGAGATTAGTCTGTGTCAAGAAAGATGTTTTACAAATATTTTAAAGAGAACTTCAGATCCCCATGTAGAACTTCTTACTCTTGAGAAAAATGATCCTGATTAGTTTTAAGACAACCAAAACTGTGACAACAATGTATTAGAAAAACTAATTATGTTTATTTATAACATTGTGGTCTATACTAATTGAGGAATTATTATGCTCAACTATATTTAGAATAATAATTCTTTTCATAAAAACAGATTCATTAGAAAAGAGTAAAAAAGTGAGATTGTCAGGTATGTTCTGGATTTTTATTTATTGTCTGCACCTCAAAAGAAGTATATACCCTCCAGGCTTTGTTTCCAGTCAAAATGGAGATTTTATATATTTTTAGGCACATATACAAAAGTATTAGAGAAAACCAGGAAAGTGCACAATCAAAATCTACTGTTACATGTTTCAAAACAATTTAAAATTTCTTATACTCATTTTGTTCGTTTCTCTTATTATACTTATTCTCTTAAGTACTTATTCCTAGTATTTTTGTTGTTACTGTAAATGGAATTTTTACTTCTAACTTGGGCTGAGTGTGGTGCGGGCGACGCCAAGCCAAGGGTTGCAATCCCCTTACCAGTCACAAAAAAGACAAAAAGAGTATATTATATAAAAATAAAATAACATCATATGTTTTGTCAAGAAGCATTGATTTATATATATATATATTTGTGATTACCAAAGGGATTAGATTAATCATGGGCCTGATTTCTCTCCCTGTCACATAAGGAATTAAAAGGATTTCTGCAGGGGAAAATGTGATGCCACACCTGTGATTTGATGTCACTGAACTGCAGTTGGAGAAATTGTGTGTTCTGTACAAACATATAATGCAAAAAGGAAAAAAAAAAGAAAAAAGAAAGGTTGGTATTTCTGTTAGTTTAGTGAGATAAAAACGTGAGATTTCACCTTTCTTCACAGGTTGGAAGGTCTTCTGTTCTGAGTTCGTAGGAAGCCCTTGAGGGTCTCTGATCTTCTTGGTTTCTAACAGTGAGACTGCAAGGGACAAGACATTCATGGGTTGACTGAGATTAGTCTGTGTCAAGAAAGATTTTTTACAAATATTTTAAAGAGAACTTCAGATCCCCATGTAGAACTTCTTACTCTTGAGAAAAATGATCCTGATTAGTTTTAAGACAACCAAAACTGTGACAACAATGTATTAGAAAAACTAATTATGTTTATTTATAACATTGTGGTCTATACTAATTGAGGAATTATTATGCTCAACTATATTTAGAATAATAATTCTTTTCATAAAAACAGATTCATTAGAAAAGAGTAAAAAAGTGAGATTGTCAGGTATGTTCTGGATTTTTATTTATTGTCTGCACCTCAAAAGAAGTATATACCCTCCAGGCTTTGTTTCCAGTCAAAATGGAGATTTTATATATTTTTAGGCACATATACAAAAGTATTAGAGAAAACCAGGAAAGTGCACAATCAAAATCTACTGTTACATGTTTCAAAACAATTTAAAATTTCTTATACTCATTTTGTTCGTTTCTCTTATTATACTTATTCTCTTAAGTACTTATTCCTAGTATTTTTGTTGTTACTGTAAATGGAATTTTTACTTCTAACTTGTTATTCTTTGTTCATAAGAAGGCTACTAATTTCTTTATAGCTTTATTCAGATATCATTTAGGTACCATAAAGTTGACCTGTTTAAAATGGACAATTCAGTGGTTTTTAGCATACTGACAAAGTTGTGCAACCATCACCACTATCTAATTCCAGAACATTTTCATCACCCAAAAAGAAACCCCACATCTGTTAGCAGTCACTCCTTGTTACCCATGTCTCCCCACTCTACCAGCCCTGGGCGAGCACTAATCTACTTCCTGTCTCTATAGATTTGCCTATTCTAAATCATACAATACATACAGCCTGTGGCTGGCTTCTTTCACTTGGCATAATGTTTTCATGTTCTACCCATGTTGTAGCATATATCAGTACTTCATTCCTTTTTCTGGCTGAATAATATTCTGTTGTATGTATACACCACATTTTGTTTATCCATTTGTCAGTGGATGGACATTTGGGTTGTTTCCACTTTTTGGCTGTATGATTCATGCTGCTATGAACATATATTTCCATTTCTCTTGGGGATATACCTAGGAGTGGAATTGCTGAGTCATATGGTAACTCTATTTTAAAAACTTTGAGGAACCCCCAAACTGTTTTCCAAAGTAGCTGCACCATTTTAAATTCCCACCAGCAGTATTTGAAGGATCAAATTTCTCCATATCCTGGCCAACAGTTGTTACTGTTGTATTTTTTATTCTAGCCTCCTAAGTGGGTGTGAAGTGCTATCTCATTGTGGTTTTGGTTTGCATTTTGCAAAAACTATGTTGAGCATATTTTTATGTATATATTAGTCATATGTGCATCTTCTTTGGAGAGTTGTCTATTTATATCCTTTGACCATTTTAAAATTGGTTTGTCTTTTATTATTGAATTGTAAGGGTTCCTTATATATTATAGATAAAAGTTTTAAAGACTTGTTTTTAATGTTAATTTTGTCCTTTAGTGTCTGCATCAGTTCTAGCAACAATTTGCTTTCAGTTTCTAGGCATACTCTCATCATCTGCAAATAGGGAGAATTTTACCTCTTCTTTTCTAATTTTTAGGTCTCTAATTGTTCTCTCCTGTCTGACTGCATTGGCTGATATTTAAAATACAACATTAAATAGGAGTAGAGATGATAGACATCCTTGTTCTTAATTTTAGCAGGAATGCTTTCAGTATCCTATTAATTTAAAAATGAATTTTTACCATTGATGATATGAGTTTTCTTTACCTTATTATTGATACTGTATTATCTTTTCTATTTCTTTTATTATATCTTTCCTTAACACCCCTTACTCCATTTTACAAAAGTCTTTCAGCCTATTTTCAGCACATCCACCTTATGAATTTTCTTTTTGTCTTTTTCCGTGTCCGGCAACGGATCGCAACCCTCAGTGTCACGCCCGTACCGGACCGGGACCGGCCACGGGATCGCAACCCTCGGTGTTGCTCCCACACCTCGCTCAGCCAGTGAGCGGGAACCGGTCTGTATGTGGGATCCGAACCCTCGGCGGGAGCGCCACTGCGCTCCCAAGCGGTGCACTGTAGCAGTGAGCCACCGGGCCGGCCCTGAATTTTCAATAAGTATGTGTAGCTCTATTTTTCTTTAAAGGCAGAATCATTATAAAGGGAAGAATCCTTTTGACTTGTTTCTTTCATGATGTCAGGGCTAAAAAGTTTTTTTTTTTCCTTTTTGTCTTTTTTACTGACCAGTAATGGGATCGCAACCCTCGGTGTTGCGCCCGCACCGCGCTCAGCCAGTGAGCGGGAACCGGTCGCCACATGGGATCTGAACCCTTGGCGGGGGCGCCGCTGTGCTCCCAAGCGGCGCACTCTCCAGTGTGCCACCGGGCAGGCCCAGGGCTAAAAAGTTTTGGTAACTGATGGTTTCTTAAAAACAAAAACCAAGGGCCGGCCCGGTGGCGCACTGCTACAGTGCGCCGCTTGGGAGCGCGGTGGCGCTCCCTCCGAGGGTTCGGATCCCACATACAGAACGGTTCCCGCTCACTGGCTGAGCGCGGTGCGGGCGCAACACCGAGGGTTGCGATCCCATTACTGGTCAGTAAAAAAGACAAAAAGGAAAAAAAAAAACTTTTTAGCCCTGACATCATGAAAGAAACAAGTCAAAAGGATTCTTCCCTTTATAATGATTCTGCCTTTAAAGAAAAATAGAGCTACACATACTTATTGAAAATTCAGGGCCGGCCCAGTGGCGCACTGCTACAGTGCACCGCTTGGGAGAGCAGTGGCGCTCCCGCCAAGGGTTCGGATCCCACATACAGACCGGTTCCCGCTCACTG